ATTAATGGTGGCTAATTCTTGTAATTCTGGCACTTGGGAGACTGGGACAGGAGGATTGCCACAAATTCAGAGCTAGCCTAAGCTAAATAGTGAATTTGAGGTCAGCCTGGGCTACAATATGAAAACAAAGCCCCAGTCGCTGTTTCTGGGACATAGTAGAGCTGGCAGAGCTAGGCACTTTTCTGCCCATCAGCCCCATGTGCATTGTGACCTCTTTTTATGGTCCCAGTTAGTTTCTTCAGGGTTATGTTCTTTTATTTATTCATGGCAGAGGCTTTGTAGGTGTTTGTTGGGTAAGAAGGCCCCTAAAACAGCTCAGGGCTTCCTGGAGCGCCACAGTTCAAGACAAATCCCCTTTGACTCTCCCCAACCCAGAGCTCTCAGAAGGCTCTGCTTACTCATGTCCCACTGACCTGCTTTTCTAACCATGGGAGCAGCAACAGTGGCAGCAATGTCATCTCTGCCTGGTGCTGGGCTGACTTTTGAATTCTTAACCTGCACTGTAAGCCAGCAAGATATTGGCTGGACTGGCACTCTGTTCTCTCCTCTGCATCAGCCATACCCTCCCGTGGTTAATGCACCATCGCCCCATAATTCTGGGTGTAGAGGGCATGGTGACCTGTCCCCGGAGGCACAGGGGCCTTGAGCTTTCCAGAGTGCCACCTCTTACCTTGTCCTGGAAGGGTGCCCAGACAGGTGAGGTATACAGGACCCAGATAAGAGCCTGTGGGAATCTCCAGGTGGTAAGTCCTGCAAGGACCTGCAGCTCCATCACTCTGATTTTCTCCCTCCCCCTCCCCCTACTCAGCAAAAACCTGCTCCCTCCTGGCCCAGCAAGCTAGCTGGGACTAGGCTGAGAGAAAGAGAGAAAAGAGACTTTTATTACATGCTTTCCTTAAGCCAGCAACATGCTTAGCTGGTTTCATAAGCGTTCTTTTCTTTTCTTTTTTAAAGATAGGGTCTTGTTATGCAGCCCAGGCCAGCATGGAACTCATTACACAGACCAGGCTGGCCTCAAACTTGAGGCAATCCTCCAGTATCTGCTTCTTAAGTGCTGGGATTACAAGGCTGTACCACCACACCTAGGCACTATCTCTTTTGCCTTTAAAAAATGTCCATTTGAAAATAAATAAATCAAAGAAGAAAACAAAACAAAAACAAAAAAAAATGTCCATTTAGGGCTGGAGAGATAACTCGGCAGTTAAGAGCACTAGCTACTCTTGCAGAGGACTAGGGTTTGATTCCCAGCACCCACATGGCAGCTAACAACCATCTGTAACTCCAGTTCCAGGGGATCAGATGCCTTCTTCTGATCTTGGAAGGGACACAGGTATACTACCTATATGTAGGTAATACATTTATATATATAAAATAAAAAAAATAAATTTTTTTGGTCTTTTTGAGACAGGGTCTCCCTGTAGCCCCAGCTGTCCTAGAACTCGCTATGTAGACCAGGCTGGCCTTGAACTCACAGAGATCCACCTGCCTCTGCCTCCCGAGTGCTGGGATTAAAGGTGTGCTAAAGGTGTGCGCCACCACACCTGGCAATAAATAATTTTTTTAAATGTCCATTTTACCAGGCAGTATATGCACATGGTACAAGAAGCACAAAGGTCCAAAAGATCAGAGAGAGTGGATAGTTGATCTCTTTTTCTGTTTCCCGTGTCCCTTCTAGAGGAATACCCACAGTTACCAGGGCCTTTCATGAACATCCAGAAAGAGCGTGTGCACTTTACCTCCTAATTATGGCTTACACTTGTGGGGGGCGGGGATTGGGGAACTGAGGCTCTCAAAGGTGTTAAGTAGTTTGGGTAAGGTCACACAGCTGATAAGTTGACAAAGTTGGCTGAAACTTTGATGAAGACCTATTAGTCTCAGACAGAAGTCATCCTGGATACTACCAGAGCCTCTCTCAAGGCATCAACTGTGAGCCCCCACAGGCCCTAGAGATCGGGGGTCTCTGCTTTCCTGTTTTCTGAGGGTCTGGCCTCTTCCCCATGACTCTAGGGGCCTGTGCTGACTTCTTCCCATACAGAAGAAGGGAAATTCCCTCAAGTGCCCTTCCTTGGCTAATGTGTGGCAGGTGGTTCCCTGGGGCCAGCTTGATTCCTGGGATCCAGAGAGGTCTGCAGAGGGAAGCCACATGAGCATGGGTCTTTGGCTGGAGGGGATTGTGGTTGTGGTTTCAGTTACAAGAAAATGGCCTCATGATCTCCCCGTGGCTGTGGAGGGAGGATGTGAAATGAAAGAGCTGTTCTCTGTGGCAGCCACGTGGTCATCCATGGGCGTGAAGGAAGGAAGCTCCACTTAGTCCTGGCTGGGAGCTTGGAAGGATGTATGGCCAACTGCTGTGAACCAGTCGTTGAGGCTCTTCCCTCATCTCTCTCTCTCTCTCTCTCTCTCTCTCTCTCTCTCTCTCTCTTGATCAGGCCAGAATGGACTGAGACATATCCCATAGTGGTCATCTCTATATCTCTACATGTCTCCCTAGGATTTTTCAGGGACCTGACTTCCTGTTCAGTTTCCTTCCAGGACTCCTAAGACTGGTGTCCCAACAACTTAGAGGGGTATGGCCAAAGTAGGTCCAAAGACAGATATCCCTGCTCATCTGAATTGTCAGGATGCTGTTGGACTTTCCTGGTCCGAAGGATGACAGCTTTCTGTTTTGCTGAGGTAGCCCTAGAACAAGTCACCTTTGTGTCTCTGCACATAAGACTAGCTAGGTACCTAGAGATCAGTCAGAGATGTGCTACAATTTTAAAAAATACCCGGGCGTGGTGGCGCACACCTGTAGTCCCAGCACTTGGGAGGCAGAGGCAGGTGGAT